AAAAATTCAAGCTCCGACTTTCATTATTGAAAGATTCTCTGGGCAAATCATTGAATGATGCAGAAAACATCAAAAGTATATGGGAGAAATACACTTAGTCACCGTACCAAAAGGCAATAGTTAATGTTCAACCATTTCAAGAGGTAGCATATGATCAAGAGTCAATGACAATAAAGGAAGAAGTCCAAGGTGCTTTGAAGGACTTGGCAAAGAACAAGGCACCAGGAATTGATGATATACAAACTGAAATCTTTCAAGAAAGTGAGGCAGCACTGGAGGCACTCACTCATCTCTGCCAAAAAAATTGGAAGACAATTATCTGGACCACTGACTGGAAGAGATCCGTATTTGTGCACATTACAAAGAAACATGACCCAAAGGGATGCGGAAATCATAGAACAGTATCTTTGATATCCCATGCGAGTAAAGTTTTACTAAAGGTAATACAAAAACTACTGCAAGCATACATTGACAGAGAACTTCGAGAGCTTCAAACCAGATTCAGAAGAGGCCATGGAACAAGGGATATCATTGCTGATGTCCAATGGCTATTGGCTGGAAGCAGAAAATACCAGAATGATGTTTACCTGTGCTTTATTCACTACGCAAAGGCTTTCGATTGTATGGATCATGACAAGCTATGGACAACATTGTGAAGAAGGAGTACTCCTGAACACTTCATCGTGCTCATAAGGAATCTGTACCTGGACCAAGAAGCAGTTGTTCAAAAAGAACACGGGAACACTGAATGTTTTAAAATTAAGAAAGGTGTGTGACAAGGTCGTATTCTTTCACCATACTTATTCAACCTGTATGCTGAGCACATAATCTGAGAAACTGGATTATATGAAGAAAAACATGGCATCAGGATTGGAGGAAGACTCAATAACAACCTGCGATATGCAGATGATACAACTCTGCTTGCTGAAAATGAAGAGGACTTAAAATATTTACTGAAGGTCAAAGAGCACAGCCTTTGGTATGGATTACATCTCAATGTAAAGAAAACAAAAATTCTCAGCACTGGACCAATAAACAACATTCTTATCAACGGAGAAAACACTGAAGTTGTCAAGGACGTCATTCTTCTTGGATCAACTATCAACACTCATGAAAGAAGCAGTCAAGAAATCAATGCATTGCATTAGGTAAATCTGCTGCACAAGCCCTCTTAAAGTGTTGAAGAGCAAAGATGTCAACTTGAGGATTAAGTGTGCCTGACCCAAGCCATGGTTATAAACTGAACAAGTGAATAAGGAAGACCACAGAAGAATTGATGCTTTTGAGTTATGGTGTTGGAGAATATCGAAAGTGCCATGGGCTGCCAAAAGAACCAACAGACCTGTGTTGAAGAAGTGCAGCCAGAGTGCTTCTTGGAGGCCAGGATGGCCAAACTTTGTCTCTCATACTTCAAGCACATTGTCAGGATGGACCAGTCGCTGGAGAAGGATATCATGTTTGGTAAGGTGGAGGGTCAGTGAAAAAGAGGAAGAATCCCCAGCTAGATGGATTGGCAAAATGGCAACATCAATGGGCTTAAGTGTGGCAACAATTGTGAGGTTGGCTCAGGATTGGGCAGTTTCGTTCTGTTGTGCATAGAGTCACTATGAGTTGGTACCTACTTGATGGCAACTAACAGCAACAACTGCAGAGCTAGAAACTTAAGAGTAAATCACAGAAATATTTATTAAACAAAAATATCAAAAATATGAGGCTACTGGCTCTGGACATACCCTCCATCTAGGTCTACGCACTTCTGACAGTGCTGTCTTCATCTGCCCCAAAGAATTCTCTACCCTTCAGTGTACTCCAAGTCAAAGGGACTCAAATTGTGTGTGTACCTTATAAATATTCATCAATTTTTGGGAACAAAAAGAATTGTGAAGGGGAAAGATCATGGCTGAAGGGTGAATGGGGTAAGGTTTCGCAATGAAATTCTGGTTGGACAGCCCTTGCTACCCTAGAAGAATGTGTAGGTGCATTGGTGTGATAGAAAATATTCCTTAAAGGCATTTACCTGACCTTTTTCTATCAAATGCACTTCTCAATTTTCTTAAAATGTCTTCATAATAAACCCTCGATTGTCCTGTGTTCTTTCAGGTAAAAAAATCTATCAAGATTACCTTCTTTGGGAGCCCAAAAACAGTCGCCATAACCTAATGAGCTGACCTCTCTGCCTTGAATTTAACTGGCCCAGCAGAGCCCCTGGAAGCTACTGTTTCAACTGGAACTTTTTTTTTTTTTAAAGGCATCCTAAGGAGACTAAAACAAATAATAGTACTGAGAGAATCTATCTACAGTCATCCACTGGTCATGAAACATGTTTAAACACATTTTGTTTGGGATAAGCCAATGCATGTGTGAACTGGAATCCAAGTAGCAATACTTTTTGACTTACCCATGTATACACACTGAACAAAAGAAATTTAAGTAGCTATCCATGAGAAGCTGTGATAGTGTTGTGGTTACGAGTCGGGCTGGTAATTTCAAGGTAAGCAGTTCAAAACTACCAGTGGTTCCACAGGAGAAAGATGAGGCTTTCTGCTCCCATAAAGATTTACAGCCTTGGAAACCCTATAAAGGGTCACTATGAGTTGGAACCGACTCCCCGGCACATAACCCCCATCTGTGAGAAACATTTCAAGTTTTCCTACAAGAGTGCATACATTTAACATAGTGGTTCTCAACAAGAAGAACATTTGGCAAAGTCAAGAGACATTTTTGGTTATCACAACATGGGAAGTCAGGGGGATGCAACCCACACTGATGCTGCCAATGATGCCACTAAACATCCTACAATAAACTGGGCAGTCCCCACAGCAAAGAATTATCTGCCATTAGGAGCTCTGGTAGTGTAGTGGTTACAAATCGGGCTGTGAACCGCAAGGTTAGCAGTTCAAAACTCCCAGCTGCTCCACAGGAGAAAGATGAGGCTTTCTGCTCCCGTAAAGATTTACAGCCTCGGGAACCCTGTTCAGGGTCGCTATGTGTCGGAACCGACTCGACGGCACATAACAACAACAACTGTCAATAGTGCTGAAGTTGAAAAATACCCTTGTCAACTGACTTATTCAGATGTGAGGCGTCCATATCACATATCGGAAATAATAACAATAAATTCCAATTTGGCAGTTTCAACTGAAAAGTCTGTTAAAAAGTTCATGTGTATGCACCAACACAGAAAATGATCTTTACATAATCCTTATGCTTACAGGGTCGCTGAGTCGGAATCGACTCCACGGCACATAACAACAACAACAACAATGCTTAACAACAATGAATCAGAAAACAGCCCATATCTCTGAAAACTAACCTAAAACTAAATTAGCAGAAGCTACTCTGAACACTTTGTTTTCTTTATAAACTTGAAAGCAAAGCACAAATTAATTTTCACTTGTGAAACTAGGAAAGAAGTGCAATCTAAGGCTTGAAGCAATCAATTCCTCCAGATTTCATAAAAGAAAGTGCCTAAGTACTGCAAGTAAATCTTGCACAGATGTGCTTACTGTTGAACACAAGAATCAATGGTGAGAGCAAAGGGCATGCCCTTGGTGCTTCCAAAATCACTGTTTATCAAGATTTCAAAAACTCTGACAAAACCACTGCAAAAAGGAATCAAATGTCAATACAGAGTTCAGATACAGACGTTAACTATTTCTCTATATCTGACACTACATGAGCAAGTTTCACATGACTTTAACACTGCAGGAAAGATCGGGAGAAACAAGAGCACTCCCGTTTTATATACTGGATGACTCAACTCTTTAGTATAGTCCTTGGCTGAATAGTACTAATTCACTCATTACTTTCGTCCCTTAAACTAGTTATCCTAGTTCCTCAGTAACCAAATAATAGGTATGACACCTACTTTTCAATAATTTACATATTGTTACAACCTATCACTGTCTCAAAAAGCAAAAGCTACCCAAAACATAAACTTGAGTACAGTATCTCTCACATAAAAAAATTTCTATCACTGTCATTTTAGGAACTGAATCCCAAACAATACACCTAAAGCTTTCGAATGTTCTAATAATCTTCACATCTTAAGGTTTTTCCAAATATCAAATGGAGACAGTATTGGAAGACATTGGAGGAATCGATGTATATATGGCATTAGATAAAACTTACTGGGGATTTTCTCTAGGATCGCTAAAATAACGTAACGGGCTTGGAGGGGAAACGCATTTTTAATTTTTTTTTTTTTTTAAGTTTCCAACAGTGAGTAATAGCTTCCTTCTCAGCTGACTTTGCCAGTAAGTATGAGAACCACCACTGGGCCCATGTTAGGCCGGGTTTCACCACATTCCACTCATACAGCGTCCAGATGAGAACGCTAAGCCGCATAAGGCAGGTGTGTGTCGCGTAAAGTTGGGGGGGCACAGCTAAACTCCCCGCAATCTGCCTTTGGCTTTCTGCAGCCCCACAGGCGCTGGCCGGCCTGTCCCACCAGCGCCAACTCTCCATTTTCATTCCCAGGCTAGGATCCGGGGAGGAACGCAGACACCACACCCTCCAGTCGCCTGCTCGCTCGCGCTGACAGCCCCGCGCAGCAGTCGGGCACACGCCGGTCCAGGACGCACGAGTGCAGGGAGCTCAGTGACCAGCCCGCGGCTCCCGATCACCGCCCCGCCCGTCCCCTCCCACCCTACTGCCCGCACCCGGGGCAGACGACCGAGGCCTAATCGCCTCTCGGGCTGCGGGGCCTAGAGAAGGCTGGAGCCACGCGGAGGGGCGCCCGCGCCGCCGACTCGGCTCCCCTGCGCGCCTGTAGCGTCCTCAGACACACACTGTGACCACAGGCTCAGGCTCTCCTGCTTCACGTGCTGCCAGAAAGACGGTTTCACTCTCTTACCCGTTGCAAAATCCTCCTTAACATGGTTTAAACACCACCCGGCGCCGCCGCCGTGCCTCTCCGGGGGTGCGCCGGCTAAGGGAATTGGCCGGGAGCGGAAGGGGGAAGGAGATCAGGGATAGGAGGTGGCGGCAGCCGCTGGGGCGGCCCGGCTTCCCCGCAGGCGACGAGAGGGAGCGCGAGCAAGCCAGCTAGCAAGAAGGAGGGGAGGGAGTCAGCGAGCGCCGGGACGCCCTCGTAACTGACAGCTGGGCGGGGCCGACAACAACCCACCCTCCCGGCCTGTCCATCCGCGGGGGGCGGGGCTGGAAGGTGGTTGGCCCAGGTCCGCGACCAATAGAAAACGGCGGCAGTGTGAGCAGCCGCTGAAGGACAAGCTGCAGAACGCTGGCGCCGCCGCGTCTTCCGGCGAGTCGGCGGACGCCTCTACGGCCAAGCGCACGCCCGCGCTCCGTTGGAGGCTGCGCCCGCGCCCGCGCCCCTACCGCGTGACTGCTGAGGAGTGGGTGGGGAAGCCTAGGGCCTGATTTAGGGTTCTCCCTAATCACGATGACAGAAGTGCACACCTGGGATGATAGTTGCCACTGTACCTCGAGTTGATATATAAAATTTGTCAGTGTGACCCTTTCCTTGACTGCGCTGTCTCCACGCCTCATTTAAACCTGGGCTAGAGCCTCGTTTGTGCTGGAAATACTGACATGACCTCTGCATCCCTGAGTGTGAGCAGACCATAGACGTGCTTAACCAGTCTGTTGGGCTTCCCTCGCCTTTATGCCTAGCTTCCCTTTCCCACTCACTGCTTTCATTTCAACCAAAAAGAAAGTAAAAAAAATCAGAAAGAAAGAAAAAAAAAGATGGGAGAGGGGTAGGAAGAAACAGGCATTTGAACAGGCAAGAGAAATTTGCAGTTGTTCCTTTTGGATCATAGCTTTCTCTTTCTAAAGCCAGTAATCGCCCCTTTCGCATAAGACTATCAAAATTTGTTTTGATAATAGATATATTGATGTAAATCATCTTTTATGCTGTCTGTTTTGTAAATGAGGAAAAATAATCAGGTCAGTCATAAAATAGGGTGCCAAAACAAGAATGTGGACTTGGAGCTGACTTCCAGGCATCGATGGCATTGTTTAAACCTGAAAATTACAGCTCCTGAGTCTGACATTCTAATATTCCGCAAACCAAGAAATTGGACTTTTACTCTGGCAGGAAGAGAGAAGCCTTTAATATTGCTTAAATAAGAGAGAAGAGGAAATACTATGACTAATGTTAAAAAAGAATAATACCTTTGACTTCTAAGCAATAATGGAGTATTCATTGGGAAAGCCATTAATTAGTCTGACAGCTTGTGTACTGTGCTGGCTTGTGAGTTGTTGTGATTCTGGAAGCTATGCCACGGATGTTTTAAATACCAGCAGGGTCATCTACAGTGGACAGGTTTCAGATGAGCTTTCAAACAAAGACAGACTAGGAAAGAGTGACTACTTTCAAGTAGTTAGTCACTGAAAACCTTATGAATAGCAGAGAAGGCACTCAAACTGCAACTGGGGAAAAGCTGCCTCCTCAAAGTAGAGCTGACAGTGATGATGCAAATTGAGTAAAACCCGTGGGAGTAAAGCCCGCAGGACCTTCATTTGCTGATGGGGCACAACTCAAAATGAGGAGAAACAGCTGTAAACATCCATTAATAATCGCAGCATGGAATGTATGACGTATGAATCTAGGAAAACTGTTGTTATGTGCCATGGAGTCGGTTCCGACTCATAGCAACCCTGTACAGGGTTTCCAAGGCTGAAAATCTTTACGGGAGCAGAAAGCCTCATCTTTCTTCTGCGGAACAGCTGGTAGTTTCGAACTGCTGACCTTGAGGTTCGCAGCCTGATTCGTAACCACTACGCTACCAGAGTTCCTTGGAAATTGTCAAAAATGAAATGGGATGCATAAACATTAGTATCTTAGGCGTTAGTGAGCAAATGGACTGGTATTATCCATTTTGAATCTGATAACCACATGGTTTACTATGCTGGGAATGACAAATTGAGGAATGGTGATGTATGCATTGTCAAAAAGAATATATCCAGATCACTCATGAGGTACATTGCTGTCAGTGATAATATTATATCCATGCACCTACAGGGAAGACCTAGTTTGGCGCTGACGGTTAACGTGATAGACTGCAAAGCCGTTTGAACTGCAAGGTTGGCGGTTCAAGCTCACGAGCTGCTCCTCAGAAACCCTATACAGGGTCTCTATGGGTCGGAGCCAACTCAATAGCACTTAACAACAACAACAGGGAAGCCC